TTTGTACTTTGATCAGTTTTTCACTACTTCAGTTACTGAAGTGATATATGCTCATCGCTTTTCCTTCCCCATTTGACTGTCTTTCTACTTTCTTTAAGAAACAGAGGGTATATGCTAAGTGAAATAAGCCAGTCAGAGAGAGACAAATACCATATGATTTCATATTTATGTGGAATTTAATGAACAAAGAACAAACAAAATAGAAACAGACTCATAGACACAGAGAACAGACTGACAGCTGTCAGAGGGGAGAGAGGTTGGGAGGCTGGGTAAAAATGTAAAGGGACTGAGCAGTACAAATTGGTAGTTACAGAATAGCCACAGAGATGTAGGTTGCAGCATAGGGACCATAGTCAATAATATGGAGATGACTACGTATGGGGCCAGGTGGGTACTTGAAGCAGCAGGGGGACCACTCTGTAAAGTACATGATTGTCTAACCACCTTGCTGTCTATCTGAAACTAATACAGAATCATACTGAATGTAAGCTGATTTAAAAAATAATAAAAAGAAAACAGAATTATGGGAAAGATGCAGTACTTGGCCATAGAAAGTACTGATCAGCTATTTGCTACAGTTGAATAATATGCTGACTCAGAAATAAGAGAATAATATTAGTAGCTAGCATTTACACAGACCTTAATACATGCTAGGCATTGTCTTAAGCTCTTTACATGAATTAATACATTTAATTTTCACAAAAGAAATCTATGAAGTCTTCAGTATTATGAGCATCATCCCTAGTTTAGAAAAAACTGAGGTCAATGCACTTAACCTCACAGAGCTAGAAGCCAGAGCCCTGTATTTTGAACTCTGGAAGTCTGACTCTCTAAAAGAAACTAAATGCTTGGGGTGGGGTGGGGGGTACATTTTATTTACTTGGTTTGTTTTCAGCATCTCTTCCACTGTTATTCATCTCTCATCTCCAGGTTATTTAGCATGACAACGAGAACATAATAAATTTGTTGTAAACCTTCAATACATTACGTACAGGGAAAAAGGTCTTTGATGTCAGAAGAAACTACTGTGACATCTGACAAGCTTCAGGCTGAAAAGTAGAGGCGCTGGGATTCTGAAAGCTCTACCTTCGGTCTAACCTGTCTGACCCAGGGATACTGCCTTGCATCTCCTGAGGAATTGAATACATATATTCAAGTCATGGTAACCCCTACTCTGACTTCCTGCGGCAAAATGAGGTAAAAACATGCACTTTGTTTTTTAAAAGACAATAAATTCCTGGAAAACAATGCCAGCCCTTTGGAAGTTACTCAGTACAGGTTCAGATTGATTTGTAAATAAATGACTCACCTCCACTGGTAAAAGATGCTAGCTTTTCAAAAAGCCCCATGTGGAATTTGGTATTCCAGAACCCTGTCCTCACAGGAAGTCGTTTTTGTGATTAGAACACTCTTCAGCATTACCTCTGAGATGAGGCACCTCATCTCATTTGCCTCATTCCCCCAGGAAGAGTTAGAACATGATCAGGAAGATGAGTTGCTGGGGATCAGCTGCCATGAGCCTGGAGCACACGCCTCTGAGTCTGGGAACGATCCACACAGTCAACACGTACTCGGAATCTGACGGACTTGCATCCCATTTTGAAAAGGAATGTTTATTGAGAGACAAGTGTGCTAAGCACCCTCCAGTCCCAATACTTTCTGAGCTTTGCACAAGAAGGCAGGGACAAAGTCCTGCCCAGTCACCTAGTTTCAAGAGGTTCCGACCCGCAACAAGCAAAAGCTCATGTGCTCTCCATCTGTGTCAAGGCCAGTATAGGAACTAGCTCTAGGCTGTCCCCAAAACCACAGGTGGTCCCTCTGGGAAGGGCATGTTCATGCCTGCTGGCCACCAACACTCTAGAGCCATTTACACACAACCTACACAGAAGCCAATTGTCACAATCCCCTATAAAATGATGTCAGGAAGGTTTCTCTCGCCTTTTCATGGACTATTAAACTCAAAATATTGTTGGAGCCCTGTCAATTTCAACTTCCCATGTTACATATAAGGAAACTGAGTCCCAGTGAAGGGGCAAGGCAAGCAGTTAGTTGGGGACCAAGCTGGGACCAGCATCTTAGTCACCTACTCATTTTTTACCGCTATAAGACGTACTTCCTTTCTCTACTCCATTCTACTTCCTTCTTTAGATAAAGAAGGGCCCCATTTTATTACCAACTGAAATGGGGCCCAGCCACTTGGTACGTGTCAGGCAAAAAAAACATTCCAAGGAACTTGATTGCCAGCCAGCAAGCAAAGAGTACACTGGGAGTCATCCCCTGAGCAGTGTTTTTCCAAGAACAAAAGACCATGTGCTATTCCAGGGCTGTTGCTTACATCATAGCATGTTGGGTATGTTTAGGGTGAGCATGCACAGCAAGTGGACATGAATAGACATACATCACATGTACAGAAAACAGTGGGTATGCCCTGCCTTGGATGGAGATTCTCGTATTCTAGTGAGGGTAATGAGGAAAGTTTGCACTAAACCCATTGAAGTGTCCTCTGGTCAATCTCAGCTGGTTTCCACAGGTTTTCTGGCAGCTTTTTTTAATCTTTACCTTCTAGCCCTGAAGGAAAACATCTCAGGCAAGCATCCTTAGGAATCAATCAATCAAACAAGCTTAGCAAATATTTAGGTAATTACATAGGCTTTCTCCTAGTTCTTAATCCTCCGCACCAGGTGGGTAAGCTACAGTTTCATTCACATTTATCCACTTCTACCATTTTCTCTCTTCCCCTGCCCAGTCCATTTCTTCCTTCCATAGAATTGAGTAAAACAAGAATGAAATTACAAGAAGTCAGTTTCTCCTGAAAGAAGATAGAGAAGAAGTCCTAGCCTAGAAAGTCCCAGATGTGTCCCCTTTGTTTTGGAGCTCGAAAAGTGGATTCAAAAGAGCCTCACCACCCATAGTCAAATACCTCTGGTCTTTCCACCTGGGCTTTAACAATGGAGGTTGTTTTAATAACAACATTTCTTTTAAAACAAATAAAACAAAGTGAGCTCTGGGCCCTGAGAAAATAACTAACAGACATAGGTGACTACATTCCAAAGCAAAACTAAAAAATATGTGCAATAACAATAATAACAGCTGTCACATCTATTGCACACCTCCAGGTATTAGATGCCATGCTAACCTCTTCCTACGTATAGTAGAATTCAATCCCCTTTGCAAATTTATGAGAATACTTTCTGTTCACCCCGTTTTATAGAATAAGAAAATTGTGGCACAGAGATAATAAGAATCTTGTGCAAGAATACTCAGCTTCGATATTTCTGGCTCCAAAGTTTATGTTATTTCCAGGATTATACATAGCCCCCTGGCTGGCAAAACAAAACAAGTACAAATGTTTTAAAGAAATGAGTACCTATCTTTATAAGTCTATTTAGTACCCAAGCAGGTACAACTCCCCTGGGCAACCCTCTTTACCTGCCTCCCACAAGCTTGCAACTAGATTGTTGTCTTCTAACCTCACTTATACTAAAATTCCAGAGCTATCCTGAATTTACAAATATCACTTCCAAATACCAAATGTACGTATGTTGGATTTGTAAAACCCCCACACAGAAATTATCGAAACTACTGAGGGTTTCTGTAAATATCATAACACTCAGGCTAATTTAATGTAATTCTGAGAATTGCATTTTTTTTTCATTCTACAGATGGACAATTGAAAGCCCAAAGAAGTAAGGTAATTTGCATGATGTTGCAGAGCTAACAAACGGGAGAACTCAAACATGGCCCTAGGCCCATCTAGCTCCAACATGCCTTTTCTTTCTTTCTTCGATTCCCTGTTTTAAAAACAAAAACCTGTTTTTTCCTAAATTATGAAAGTAACATGTATTTACTTGTAGAAAATTTGAGAAAGACAATACAGACTAGAGGAAAAAATCTTTAATACCAATGAGAATTGATGCCAATATTTTAGAATTTTTCCTTCCAAGCAGACTATGATTGACTAATTTTGTACTTGTTACACTGCAAACATCCGTCCATGCCCTTAAAATTTGTATGAAAAACTTATTTTTAACACTGATATAATGTTCAATAATACATTAAAAAACCAGTCTTTTTTATTGTTGGACATCTAGGCCATTTCTAATTTATAACATTTATAAATCATACTGGAATAACACCCTGAGTACATAAATCTTGGGCATTCTGATGATTTACTTAGGACTTATTTCTAAATATGAGAATGGTTTTATTTCTATTGTTTCATGCCCCCATTTTTAACATTAATATGTCCCACCACCACACTGTAATCTCTGCCTCTGACTCATTTCTAAACCACTGTGTCAAGTTATTATTACATACGCCTAGACCCTAGGTTCAGAGAACCAAGTGGAAAGAGTTGGGGACTTGGAATCAGAAAATCTGGATGTACATCTGACTTTGTGACTCACCTTACCTGAGGTTTTCAGCCAGTGTTTTCTCACCTGGCAGATGGGACACTAACAGTACCTCCCTCAAAAGATTAATGTGAGGATTAAACCAGATAAAGTGTGACCTGGGCTTGGAAAATCATCATGTGTCCTAGTAAATGTCAGTCGCTGTTACACTCAGGTGTGTTGACAGATTTAGCCAACTTAAGAGAAAAACTGGCTTACCACTGATATGCTTTTTTTGGTAGTTACAAACCTTTCTTTTAAAAAGAAAGTCTTTTTTAAAAGTTTAAAAGCTCTAGGGAGAAATAACAGCTGTCAGAAAGAGCATTGCCTAAGTCCACCAAGCATTCCTTCTCCGTAGCTGTCATCCTGGAGATTTTGAAAGCTTCTGTTCACGTAGTCAATTAACAAATCTGAATGTTCCCATTCACAGGCACGTCAGAGAGGTAGGAACCCAACCCAGCTTGAGGAGAGCAAGGAAGGTACGTGACAGAGCCTAGCCCCTCCTCCCTGCGGGCGGGCCACAACACTGCCCAATTGCGATTGGCCACGACCCTTTACTTAGGGACTCAGTGATGAAGGATGCTGCTAAGAGTCCATCTGCAGGGAGAGGAGAAGTGAAGAGATAAAGGTGGTCCAGCCTCCATCAGAGCAGAAGAGATTCAGGACAGGCAGAAGTGAGAGGCTGGGAATGTGCTCACCATCAGGTTTGTGAAGAGATAGATAACTGGGCTAAAAAAGAAGAATCCTGTGCAGGCATCTTACTGCAATGGAATAAAAGGGGGGAAAGGGTTAATTTATTGTCTAATCGGAGGTGAGGATTAGAAGTTCCAGGAGTCAACCCAGAAATCTCATGGGTTCAGTGACGATGAAAACTGAAGAAAAGCACGCAGGCAATGGAAGCCTTGTAGGAAAGAGTCAGCTCTACATAAGGGAGCAGCATCAGGCAAACCACAAACCAGCAGCAAATGGGAAAGCAGAAGGCTTTGTAAAGCAGGTGGCAGATGGGAATGGTGGCGTGCCCAGAAAGAGCCTCAACTTGTACAGCTGGCAGGAGATCCAGAGACACAATCAGGAGGCCGACCAGTGGCTGGTGATCAACCGCAAGGTCTACGATGTTACTGGCTGGGCAGACCGCCATCCAGGTGGGCGCCGGGTCCTCAACCACTACGCTGGGGAAGACGCCACGGTAAGGAGCGGAAAGCTCTGCCCTCTCTCTGTTCCAGCTGCTGGGTGGTTAGAACCTTGGCTCTCTTCCCAAAAGCAAGTCAGTACGTGCTCAAGCCAGTGATTCATCTGTTAGGCATCAAGATGTTAATAAGAGTGATGAAGACCTTCGATTGCATAGGCTTTTAGGCTTTGTAGAGCCCTTTTCCTTCCTTGTAGCTCATTCAGTGTCACACAGGTAATACAAGACACTTTTATGGGAGGAGAAATTAGAATCAGAGTGCATAACTAACTGGCCAAAGTCACCCCACAGCAGAGCTTAGATTCAAAACCTTTAGATTTCTTAACTTCCGGTCTTTGCTTTTTTTTTTTTTTCACTGCTTCTCCTTGTCAATCTCCCCCACCAAAGCAGCAAAGGAGAAGAAATACTGTGACATTTATTGGATGTCTAGAATACCTTAGCCACCACATTCAAATGCATCACTTCATTGAAACCTCACTGTGAGGAAGATGGATATCATCCCCGTATTAGCGATGAGAAAGTTAATGTTCAAAGAGGCAAATAATACACACAGCTGGCAAGTAACATTGTCAAATTTTGAAATCGGATAGGTTTCTGACCTTTGTAGCTGAGTTCTTACAAATAACATTTCCATTTAGCATCTGAGAGGAAGGCTTCTCAAACAGTTAAATCATTTAGGAAGCCCATTCAAAATACCTTACAAGGAAGTGTGTTTGATGCCAATTATGAATTTCATGGTTCACATTATACAGATGAAGAAGTGAGATGAAAAAGATCTGACCAACCCAAAATCAAACAGTTAATATGTGGAGCAGAAATCAAAACCCAGGCCTTTTTTTTCTTCTCACTTTGTTGTCTTGTTGTTTCACAATTTGGTATACAAATTCTCCTTTGGTATACAAATTTATACTTGTTTCAAAGTATAAAATTGAAAATGTTGTTTAACTAAGAACCACTCTATTAATAGTGCTAATAATAACAAAATATGCAAGCACATGGCAAATTTGCAGTTAAGCAATATTTTATCTTTTGACGCTATCAACATATTTTTCCCCAATTCTCATTTTTTCCTCAATTTCTCATCTCCCTCCTCCAACCAGGTTCTTCTTCCACCATCTTCCTATTTTGATTCTGCAGTCAGGTGAATACCTTTCTGAACATACCTTGCTACTTCCCCTCCACTTCCTTTGTTTTTTTAAACAAAGGTCAACTTTTCCTTGAGAAAATGAACATGTGCTTGTAGTAAGGGGTGGGAGGATCCTGGTGTTGGGGAGATAGATACTAGGTAGGAATTCAGGTAGATGAAGGTAGAAGAAGTGAGGTAGAAAGCATGTGTGAAGACTAACAGAAGAAAGGGAACAAAAAATAAAACAAATACTACGAATACCTATCTAGCCCGTCCCCTCACTCCCACAACCCAGAATATGGATAATGCTTTCCTAACACAAGTCATAGAATTTAGCTCAGAGGATGGGTTGGCAAAGATGTGGGTCTCAGCCACCCTGTAAACCACACAGATAGACTCTAAGCTTGAGGTAGCTTGGGTGGTAAATTTGTAATTTGCTGATAGTTTTTACCTCCCAGAAGTCAGGAAAGACCATGATTGTGCACCCAATTCTAGCCAATGAGGAGGAATTGATTAATAAAATAGAAACCATCAGAACCCCAGGAGAAAATATCCACACCACTGTAGGATTCATATCTTGAGAATGAAAATCCTGAGCATGGTCAGTCAGTCATGTACCTCAGATGTTAGAAAAGTAAATCCAAAAATTTTCAGAGAAAAGATTCTCCAAAGAAAGATGGCTCAAGAAGACTAGGAGGGTGCCAGGAAATTTCTGACAACTATAATACTTCATGCCTACTCAGAGTATGGAAAGCCTAGGCTTTTCGATCATTGTATGAACCTAGAAAAGCTATTGGAACACTCTGAGCCTCTGCTTCACCATCTGCAAAATGAGAATGAAATTACCCATCTAACTGGTTTATGGTAAATGGGACTGATGCTCATAAAGTGCTTAGGGTAATGCCAGACACTTTAATAAATTTTCATTCAATTGTAGCTATTACTATCCATATCTCTGACATAGCTACAAAGATGTGATTATTACTTCCTGTTTACCACCAGCTTAGAAATCCTGATTACATTTGGTGCCATCTGATTTAGAACAGAGGGTTCAAAGTAGAGGGCACAATTGTCTCTAGGGAAAGAGGAAAGAACATAAAGTCAGAGGACTTGATGTCTAATATTCTACAACTTAAGAAGTCTTTGTAGGTTATGTCCTGAAAGGGGAATATGGACACAAAAATGGTCTCTTTGTGAGGGCTCTTTCCAAGACTGCAGCTGTCCAAAAGAGGTACTCTTTTATTATTTACACAGTGGCTCTTTTCCAAGCCTCCATCTTCCTCATAAAAGGTGAATATGGATACCTAAGTAGTCTTTCCCACAGGCTCATCTATTTACTCATTCATTCATTTATTCATTCATTTTTGTTGTCAGTCTTTCCAAAATCCTTCTTAGTGGCACAGCGTAGTGATTCAGAGTATGTGTTTCAGGACAAACCAAGCCTGCTTTGCCTTTAGATTCCACCACTGACTAGGAATGTCCTGAGGAGGCTGCTGAAGCTCTTGGAGCCTGGTTCCCTTATCTGGAAAGTGGAGACTATAATACTTCCATATTAGCATTGTTGTGAAAGTCAGTGGAGATAAAGTAAAATGTTCCCTATGGTGCGTGGCACAGATTCACTACTCAAAAAATGGCAATTCTTGGGCTTTTTCATTTAGTTCTTCTAAGATAGATTATAAGTGTCTCCAAAAAAAAACTTTACCAAGAAAAATAAGTCCATAAAACAAAATTGGCACATCAACTACTGTTATTGCATATGTGAGTTACCTGGCTGTTTTCAAACTATATAATTTAAAACTAATAGCATAGTACAGGTAACTAGAATCCAGACTCCAGTCTGCTCACCTGGAAAAGCTCATCTGGGAAAAGCCAAAAATAACCTGTAAGTCCAAGAAGAACTAATTATATAGATCACAATTTATCTGTCTGTTGGGTTATTTTGCAATCATTAAGATGAGGATTACAAAGCCTATGATAACAGGAAATGCATATGAATAAATAGCCACAAGTTTTAAGACAACATTGTGTTTCAGGCTCCACAAAAAAAAAATAAGTGCAATCTTGTGGTTCATGGGCATGTATGATATGTCCAGAACAAAGAGAGCAGGTGCATCATCCTGTGTGCTGGTTGTCCCACTCCTTATCTCTGAACACCTCATTCTGAGAAAGACATTGAGAAACTCAAGTTCTTTCTTGTGAGAGTCAGAGGGATTGATAACAGGAAAAGGATGACAAAAAACTTAGAGGAAATGCAGCTAAGTCTATTTCAACTATTTGGAGGACTGCAGTGTGGAAGAGGAAAGCACTCCCAGTGGCTTGGGATGAGCAGAGCCAATAGAGGTGAGACCAGGGCATGAGGAAGAGCATGTGCACCAAGGTGGAGTACAGATATGACTCAGATCATGATTAAGAGCTCAGCCAGAATGGGCATCCCACACTTCCTTTGTCTTAGCACAATAATGTCACTGACTGTCATGGAATGAGAATGAGAAGAGGAGAAAGAGGAAGAGGAGATCAATAAAGAAAAGAGGTAGGGGAAGAGATAAGAGAAGGAGGAGATGGAGAAATGGTCTTGATGCTGAGCTAAGGACTCTACATTGGGCCCTCACTGTACGTCTTCCTCTCCTTCCACTACACAATCACACTTCTCCAGCACAGCATCCTTCCCAACCCACAACCATGACAACAAAATCAAGCAGGGCCTTAAAGCTGTTGGTGAAAGGAGAGTAATAATCAGTAATAATTGCATCTTCTCTGGGTTCTCAAAATGTCTTAAATAATCCAGTTCTCATTTAAATAATGGGTAGAGGAGTGGAGAGAGAAGTGACTAAGTGATAATAAGTGAAATGGTTCAACACTACCAGCCCAGCAGTTGTGTGAAGGAAGAAATTGAGAAAAGTTGATCAAAATGAAGGAAGAAGTCCAGATAACATCTTGTAGACTTGAACAATGCAATGACAATAGGAATAAAAAAAAGAGATGAGTGCCATGGATATCTAGGGCTGATGAGTAGCTGGATAAGTAAACAGAGTGAAGGAGTCTAAACTGACTTACAGACATCCAGCTTAGATAAGTAGGTGATGGAATCCATTATGGGACAGGGGAGTCAGGAGGATGGGCAGGTTTGGTGGGGAGAGTAGAGAGAAAAAGATAGTTTGGGCTGGATCTCAGCTGAAAGTATCATAGAACAAATCTCAATATAAGAAAGCTTCCAAATGATGAAAGTTCTCAAACAATAGAATGAGTTGCAGTGGAAAAAATAACCCTCTGCTTACCCCTGAGTGTGAAGAGGAATCTATATGACTTCATGTGACATTTTCTACTCCAAAATGGCTCTCTCCCAGGAAAGAGGCAAAAGCTGCATTCTCCCCCAAAATTGGCCTATTCAAAATATGAGGTGACAGGTTCCATAGTGTAATGGTTAGCACTCTGGACTCTGAGAATAGGAGGTGACATGTTCTAGCCAATGCTTTGCAGCCAATGAGATCTGAGTGAGAAGGGTGAGCAGAGGAGAAGTTACTCAAAAAAGTGGGAATGGGTGTCAGCGGATGGGTATTGACTATTCTGGTGAGCTTTTCTGGGGTGGGTAAATGCAGGTTCTAATCACTTTGTTTTGTGACTCATACATATACTTGCCATTGGTTTTTCCTTTTCTGAATTTTGAAAATTTTCAGTCCACCTCAGATGAACTAAATAATATAAAAATGAGTCATTTATTGATGTCTGATTCCAAAGCCTAAGCTCTTACGCACTAGGCTAGATCCTAAATAGGTTTTGGAGTGACTGAATAAATGAATAAAGGAATTAATGAGCCCATGGGGCAGACAAGGTAGTATTATTATACACATTTAGGGAAAAAAACAAAGCTTGATAAATTAAGTAATTTGACCAATATAAAACAGCCTGCTCCCCTGCTACCCTGCATTGTGTCTTAGTCTGAATGAAGAAAGCACACTCTGGGTGTTGCAGCTGAAGAGTTGGCAAGCATGAATGCCTGCTGGATTTCAGCCCATACATTCCCTCCTGGCTGGGTGCCTTCATGCAGGGCACAACCTGGATCTGGTACTGAAGCTACAAAGGCAGGATTTTGTCTCAGACCTTATGTAGTTTTCTCTTCCACCAAGAATCACGCTGCTTTTACAGCAAAGCACATCTCTTCATCTCCCATTAAAAAGCAGCAAAAAATTATCAAGATTTCCAAGCTAGTTGTAAACATCATATTTTTCCAGTGTGATACTGTTTTGGAAACAATCGATTTTGAGCTAAGCTATGATAGAAATTTATAAATAGGTTGAGTCGAGATGATGGCCGAGAAGAAAATCAAAAGGGTAACCTGAAAATGAGAGGCTAAAGCTGCAGAAAGGTCAGAAAATGAGATGCTGAGGGTTGGTAGGAGATAATGATGCTAAAGATCTGTATCCTCTGAGTTTGACACTCTGATGAAAAACCCTGTATTTACTTATTCATGCACTCTCTCCCTTGTTCACTAGGCATCCATGAGCATATGCCATGACTCACTGGCATACTGATAGATGGCATGTGTAATGTAATCAACAGGGCATAGTCCCAGTCTTCAAAAAACTCAAAGACCACTAGAGAAGGGGAGAAGATGCAGACTCCTTACAACATAGTTGGAAAAGTTCTAGAAACGAAGTATCACGGAAGCCCAGAGGAGATCATGCATAACTTTCCTGGGTGGGTTAGGGCAGGCAATATTTCATCTGGATCTTGAAAGGTGAAGAAGAGCTTTTGTGTAGAGAAAAATGGAGGAAGGTAAAGGGAACAGTGTGTACCAAGCTTCGGCACCATGAAGAAGCATGGAAAGTTTATTGAATATGGAGAGATCCAGTGAATAACATGGTGCAAAGCCAAGTGTCAGAAGGTAGGTTGAAACCAGAGGCAAAGTCATTCACATGATTACAACCTAAGGTGGGGAGACACATTACTATCTGCTCAGTATATACGTACTGATCTTAGCACCATCCCCAAACAATCTGGTGTTGCTCCTCTCTTGAGAGGCCTTTTAAAAAATGATACGTGTTAAGGCTGGAATAGACCTTTACGGCTTCGTGGCTTTAAAGTCACATGGCCCTGAGTTCAAATCCTGACTCCACTATATACTGTGGCATTTGGGACAAGACGTTTCTCCCCTCTGAGAAACAGAAGCAATGGAGCCTCATGGAACTAAAGTTATGATTACAAACTGGCCCATAAATCACCTTGTACATAGGATATACTCAATAAATCCTGGCAGTATCCCTTCTCCCCTTCATTTTCCCCCCTTTCCTTCCTTCAGCAGGAACATACTTGCCCAAGAATGCTAACAACAGAACTTGTTTCTGCAAGAGGGGATTTCAAAACTCACTCAGTTTTCAGTCTCATAAGAAATTCTTCTAAGTCAAATATTCTAAGACTATCTAAACTTTTTTACTGTACTGCCCATAGATCCAATGAATAGTTCCACAAACAGGGCAATGCCTCCTGTTCTAGAACACTGTTTAGGAGGTCTTCAGTATCTGTTATCGCAGTACTGACCTATGAAATTTGCTGGGGATCAGAAGAAACAATGAACCCAGAAGAATGTTGTTGTCAGCACAGTGTTCCAGGACTCTGGATGGCTGCTTGGACTAAGACAAAATTGTAATAGCTTACCTTTCCTTTACCCTGATCTTTATCAGTCAGGATGCTTTCCATCCTAAGTTGTTCCCAAACAACAAGCAGAACGTGATTTTTCAATACGGATCATCCTGAAATACTTTAGTCACCTTCCTTCTTAATCATTGAATGACTCTTCCTGGTTTGGGAAACTAAGTTTCAGAATCATTAAATGTGACAATTAAAAAAAAAACACCTTTGAAATCATACAAGTTGGCATTTTCCAAGGGGTCAGAGGAAGTGTGCAGAAGCAGAATGGACGGTAGAGACTGAGCTGGTTCTAGCAAATACAAATCTCTTCACATCACTGAATCTAGGTTAAGTAAGTCCAAAGAATTGGTATTGCACCTCTTCAATTAACTTCACTCACTGTATAAGCACCTTTTTATAAGTAGGCTCATGTGTAGTTCTTGGCTATATCCAAGGTTGCTTTACTATTTAAAGATGGAGAAATTATCATATTCACTAAAACAATTCAGAGCTGACAGAACATTAGGCATTAGGGTACAGGAATGAAATCTCTGAATTGTTGTCTTGCACAGAAGCTAGGTACTAAGTCCTTATCACTGAGGTTATACATGTAAGAAAGATAGCTAAAATATATTGAGAGTCAGATTCTAGTTAATTCACTTAATCCTTATAATAACTTTATGAATTGAATAGCTATTGTCATCACCTTCACATTAGAAAAGAGAAAAGAGAATCACAACCAGGTCAAGAGACTTGTGCACAATTGCATAGCCAGGATTGAGATGGAGAATGGCTGCTCTGGCATCTACTTAATCAGTACTATGCAATGCCAGAACTCATAGTAATGTATATGGTGTCCACGTATCCAAGTTACAACCACGGTTGTATTTCTTAATTTTTTAATCACGCCCATCCTCAAAGCCATAATAGCAGAAAGTCCAGCATCTTCCTCTTGGAGAATCTCCCTTCCCCAAAACTAGTTAAATCCCCAAGAGAAGAGAATATCTTTCATTTCCAAATAAAGACAAGATATAGGAACCACTGCCACTGCTCATAGCCACTTGGAATTTGTACTGAGGTAGGGATCTGAGATGGAAAAATAGACTTGGTCAACTCAGTTCTCTGCCTGGCTGTCACAAGCCCCTGCAGAAACTGCTTTAGTGTTTCTAGGAGAAGTGACAAAGAGCCAAGAGTGTGATACTCTAGACAACCCAGAGCTCAATGGCTATGCTCCCACTCTCTCTTCTACATTTGTCTTGAGCAACCACCATTCAACTTCATTCTGTCTTTTTCTGGAAATAACTTAATTCAAAGGCCTCATTCCCCTGGTCTTTTGCTAAGAAGGCACAGGCAGACTTTGATAGGAGACATGATCTTTGCATAGCCAGTCTTGGCTGCTGTATGCCTCAGATGGTGCAAGCAACTTCCACCCTAGGCATGATGTTGGACTTGAAAGATTTTTCATGGCCCATAAACTTAAGCCCCTATCTCTTCTGGTTCTCAGTAAAATAAATAGAGGTCTCTCCAGTGTTCGGGGATAACCTGGCTGCATTGTACTTTCCTAGTGAATCAGTGCATTCAGTAGGTGGATCTCCAACTTTCATTGAGAATTGCCAAGGGTAATTTTGCTCAGTCAACTTGAAACATGAATTAGGAGTTGGGAGCAAATTCTCTTAACAGAGTCTGTGCTGGTTCCCCAGATGGGCACAGGGTGAGGTCAGGAAGGGGACTAATCTGTGGATAAGCATGTGTCTTCTAAGCCTCTAACAATTCTCTGGTTTATAGGATGTCTTCAGAGCCATGCACCCTGAGCTTGACATTGCACGACTGTACCTTAAGCCCCTGCTCATCGGAGAGCTTGCCCCAGAAGAGCCCACCTATGAGAGAAACAAAAATGTGAGTGAGGTCTCAGGACTCAGGAATATGTGGGGGTGAAGGGATTAAGCAAAAAAAACCATATATATATACATATGACACAAAAACATATATATGTATGTATATATGACACATAGACACAGACAACAGTTTGGTGATAGAGGAAAGCGGGGTGGGGGTAAGTAGATATGGGCAAAGTGGGGATAAATGGGGATGGAAAGAGACTTTGCTTTGTGTGGTAAGTGCATAATGCAGTGTGCTGATGATGTTTTGTTGAGGTGTACACTTGAAACCTGTATGGTTTTATGAACCAATTTCACCCCCAATAAATTCAATAAAAAAAACAAGTAAATGAGAATGGCAAAAGAAAAGAATAGGGGGAGCAATGGGGCCAAGGTATATTTCAGGTCCAATTTATCATGTTTTGTGAGAAACCAGCATCGTGACTGGGTGGGCCTGCAGCAGCATGAATGAGTGGATTCCACATATCTACAAACAATGTCATCTTCCTACTCAGAACTCTAAAACCTCTGTGAAACAAAGGAGCAGAATTTTGGGCCTGGGCTAAACAGTAATGCCGCATCTCTAAACACCTTCTTCATGCCAGGCAACTTATACGTTTAATTTTTTTCAGTGAATGTAAATATTTGTTTAATGTCTGTGTCTGTGCTCCCTATTGACAAACTTATTTCCATTACAGCAGAGATTGTCTCTATTGGGTTTATCCCTGTGTCCTCAGGACTCATCTGCACAGTAGAAATTCCATAAATAGCTGATGAATGAAAGATGTGACTATATTCTAACTACAGATCTTTTGACGTTTGGAGAAATTAGAGTCCAGGGACAATAAATTACTCCCTGAAAGCTGCACTGCTGGTGTGTTGAAGAACTGGGACTCCAAGTTATTTCTCTAGCCCCAGTCCTTTAGGCATTTGGGGGAAGGACATCACTCTTTCTCTCTATAAGACTTTGGCTTCCTAAACACTTTCCTCCAAAGGATGGGATCTCTATAAGATTGAACATTCACTAGGATGGTTTTACGTAAAGTTTGAAGAGATTCTAGCTAATATTAAGCATTTTGGGGGGTTTTTTTCAATTTATTTTTAAACAATTTACATTTGTATAATTCCTCTAAAATAATGTGTATAAAGTGCTGATTCATCTATCACCATGAGGCAGATAGAATGAGGGTTATATTTCCACTTTAAGAAGTGATGAAGCAAACCCACAGAGGAAAAGGGAATCTAAGGATACAGAACTAGTTACGTGCAGACCAGAGACAAAGACAAGTTCACCCCTTCTGTGGTGATGCTCATCCTGCATGGCTGTGTGCCAGAAGTATGGCTCTGTGTTCCGAAGGGTGGACTCCAAAGCTGGAGAGCTTGGACTCACACCCAGCCCTGCCACAGTTGTGTGGGCTTAGGCCAGTTACCAAACCTCTCTGCTGCTCATCTTCTCTCTCAGTAAAATAACAACAAGAGAACCAACGTCATAAGATTTATTGGGAGATTATTGAAAGAGTTAAAGGCACTTAAATGCTCACACCAGTATCCAGAACACAGTAAATGCTCAATACATTTTACATTTTTATTGTTGTTCAAGTTCAGTTGCCTCCATTAAATTTTAGATGCTGCTGCCATCGTGAACGCCATGGGGGCACAAGTAACTGACCAGCCCCAGAGAAGTCCATGTCATTTAGGGCAGGGGGCCTGAGGTTAAAAAAGGAAGATCATGCAAACTTTAATTGTTTTCCTTAAAAATACTCTTTAAGGAAAAGAAAACCCCACTGATGGCTAAAAGCTTTAAAATAATCATTCATTGTCTAAAAGAGTGTTGGTCTCTGGAGGTAATGATCTACCATAAATTTTCTTTAGTACATCAATGTGAATATATGTATATGTATTTACATATATACATATGTATATAAAACTAAAGAAAATTTATGGCTACCCCCAGAGATCAACACTCTTTTAGACAATGAATGACTATATTATATTTACCCAGCTACATATGTAGACAATTCGTATTTGAGCACAAATTGGATGTCAGGAACCGTAAGTTGAAGTCTGGCATCTGTCACTGACTTGCTGAAGATTTCAGACCAGTCACTCCTCTGCACTTCGGTGACCTTGTCTCTGTATAGTAAGTGGGTGGGAAAATATGACCAGACCCAGAGCCACTCTAGAGATGGCCTATTAAAAGTATCTATGGCCTCCAGAATTTTAGGGTTGATGGGAGCTTGAGAGATGAGGCTATCTGGACTTTTCCCAGGCAGTGGATTCATTAAAAGTTGCATCAGTGAATTTCTAAATAAAAATTTTGACTTCTAGAATAATATTCATAGCTCTTCTTTTATTTCAAATTTCTCTCCTTTCTTACATGTAAACAATCTTTTTCTCTTTCTTATACTCTGGTTACTTCCTCATGGTCCTGTTTTCAACCCCAATATAGTCATTAAGCTAAGAGATATTTCCTCCCAGCCCTTGCACTGACTCTCCAGGATGACGCAACAAATTTATGAACTGATGCTAGCCTTATGCGTACACACATATGCACATATGCTCAGCACACACACACAGAACCAGGACCCCTCCAACCAGCAGATGCTCTAATGCCACCAGAGACCCTGTCTTGTTCCTGGGGATTGACTGAGTACAGCTTACAGAAATTTATACATTGAGCTAATCTAAGTGGTCTATATTTGTTTATGTTCATCATCGTTCATCATCTTCAATGAGCCAGCCCTTTGCACAGGTAAACAACCGACAATGGCAGCAATCACTTGTAAACTGTACCAGTATTTATGGTTACACAAATCTGTATAGATAACAAAGTTCACCAAAGCATAGCCAGAAATTAATACCTGAAAAAATAGCGATGTTTTAAAACACAACTGTTAGACTTCTGTATATCTTTACTGACCATGACCACCCCTCAAAGAAATAACATAAAGTTTTACAACAGCTTGAGGACAGCTGACAAACCACTACTCATCTTTCTCTTTTCTAGTGAAAAACTTGCAATATTTTTCAAATGTTTTGTGTATTTATTGTTTGTTGTTTTTAATCTCCCTATTAAATTTCTTAATGCTAATCAATTTTTATTCATAAAATTAAGGTGTTAATAAGTTAATAAAACAGATTATTAATTATGATCATTTGTGTACCCTTTCCCCTGAAAGAACTGATTTCTTCCTTGAATATTTCACAGTCCCAGTTGGTGGAAGACTTCCAAGAACTGCGGAGGACATTAGAGACAATGAACATGTTCAATGCCAACCTGGGGTTCTTTTTCCTCCACCTCGTCCAGATCTTGATTTTGGAAGCCCTGGCTTGGTTAATGCTGTGGTATTTTGGCAATGGCTGGCCAATTACAATATGGATTTCCTTTCTTCTTACAATTTCTCAGGTAAGCAGATATCGTAACCTCAGGCAATGGCTTGGGGGAAGGCTCAGAATTTCTTCTTCTCTCTTTAGCTTAGTGTCAGCTGCTGCTTGACACTTCTTGGCAAGCTACTCATCGGTGTCTGACACCAGCAGGTTATCAAACCTTGCTGGACCCAAGTTCTTGCCTGTAAAATGAAGATAACAAGTTTTTTTAAGATTTTATTTATTTATTTTTAGAGAGGGAAGGGAGGGAGATAGAGAAAGAGAGAGAAACATCAATGTGCGGTTGCTGGGGGTCATGGGCTGCAACCCAGGCATGTACCCTGACTGGGAATTGAACCTACGACACTTTGGTTTGCAGCCCATGCTCAGTCCACTGAGCTACACCAACCAGGGCTTGGAGATAACAAGTTTTATGGAAATATTTTGAGGAGGACTAAACAATGTGTGAAACACCTAGCACAGTGACTGGCATAATGTATATATTTAATTTATGCCAAATTTTGTCCATGAAAGTTCAGTAACTGAAAGTTCTGTTTTCAGCCATGTAACACTCATTTTTATCTTTCATTTATTAACCAACCAGCATGTATGGATACATTAAACCATGAATTCTCTGAGAGCAGAAAATACATCTGATATGAGAATAAATATGTCTGGAATCCTCTATAAATGACCATCAGTACTTGGCACATAGATCTGATAAATCTTTGTTCAGTAAAGTGTGAGTCTCTGAACATAGCCTTCTATGAGCACATCGCTGTGGTGGACACAAAGGGAAATGCACCTGACCGCTGCCCTTGGGAAATGAGCGATCTAGTGAGGGAGATGGTCATTCAAATACTTGAACATGTGATGTGACAGAATGACACTGATGACGAGGAGAGGAACAAGCATGTGCTGCTAGGGGCAGAGAAAGGCATTTAATTTTGGTTGGGACAATTGGGGAAGAGTTTATGGAGAATTAACATCAGTGTTAATTCCAGAATTTTTTATGTTAACGATTTTCTTTTTTTTTCATTGTTATTCAAGTAAAGTTTTCTGCCTTTCTCCCCCACCCCTGCTCACCACCCCAGCCCTCCCCACCTCCCTCCCCCATTTCCACTCCCCCTTGTTATTGTCCATATGTCCTTTATAATTGCTCCTGTAAACCCTTCACCCTTTTCCCCCATTATCCCCTCCCTTCTCCCCTCTGATCACTGTCAGCTCATTCTCAATTTTTATGTCTTTTGCTATATTTTGCTTGCTTGTTCATTTTGTTGATTAGGTTTCTGTTAACAGTGAGATCATATGGTATTTGTCTTTCATCACCTGGCTTATTTCACATAGCATAATGCTCTCCAGTTCCAGCCATGCTGTCGCAAAGAGTAGGAGCTCCTTCTCTCTTTCTGCTGTGTACAATTCCGTTGTGTAAATGTACCATCATTTTTTTGATCCATTCATTTACTGATGGGCACTTGGGCTGTCCTTTGACCTGGTAATTCCCCTGCTAGGATTATATCCTAAGAACCCTGAAACACCAAACCAAAAGAACCTCTGCACCCCAATGTTCATAGCAGCACAATTTACAATATGTTAACTATTTTCTTAAAAGACAACTTGCACTATTGCTTGAAAAGTGACTTTGGAAACAAAAGAGGAAGCAAACATTTGTCTGGTACTTAGCATAAGTTGGGCACTTTATATGTATTTACATCGCACAACAGCCTGAAAAGTAAAGTGCCATTATCCCTGCTTATCAGATGAAGAACTAGATTCAGAGCTATGGATAATTTACCAAGAGTTGTGCAGCTCAAAAGTGGTGAAGAACAGTTTAGAACCCAAATCTTCCTGACTCCAAAGGCCATTCTTTTTCTACTCTGGAACATTTTGACAGTGGCAAAGAGAGCATGGCATGTCGAGAAAACCACCTGCACAAAGGCTGGGAAAGAATGCTACACATGTGGGACAGAGAAAGTGCAGTTGGCTCGTGGTCAGACAAGATCTCCCACTGTTCCTCTCAAAGGGGCTTTGAATCAACTAGTGGCCTCATTTTTCATTTCTTCTTGTCTTCCCAGCTCCTCTAACAACTGCATCTCTTCTAGGCCCAGAGTTCATTTTTGCAGCATGACACAGGCCATCTTTCCATATTTAAGAAGTCCAAATGGAACCGCCTGATGCACAGATTTGTGATGTGTCATCTCAAGGTACAGGATGTTCAGGGAGGATGATGGGATTCTCTAAGGTCATTTTCTAAGGCAGTGGTTCCTACTTGTGCACTCATATCATCAAGAAATGTTTGTGCATACTGCACAGAGAAATGTAAATATACTAATAATGTAAATGCTATGTATATACACTCATATATAATATTATATTATAATATATATTAAAATTAGAATTTTAAATTTTTATGAGGAAAAGACTTATTTTTACTTAAGAAGTTCTAACATTTTTTCCTTACCCCAGTAAACTATTTGGCCTAATCCCTGGCACCTTGTTAAGGAACTACCTTGCAGAAGAATTGTGCCTTTAAAAATGAAACTATGACCTATAAAATCATGAATGAGACTATTCTTGGGAGGGCTCTGAACATTTATTGTGGGAAAGCTGGGGGGGCGGGCAGCAAGACTGAGTAGCCCTGCAAGGGTGGGGCTGTGAAGAAATAAAGGAAAAAGTGCAGAAGAATAGGTAAAAGTGAAGAGAAAGTGAGAGAGTGTAAAAGGAAGCTCAAATGAATCTGTTCAAGAGCTGAGGGTTGCAAAACCCAGACTGCTGGAGAAAAGCAGGTGGGCAAGACTGCAGTTGGTTGTATCCCCACTAACATAAGCTCCAGAAAGGCAGACAGCAGTCTTCTCTGCACCACTGCAATGTAGCACCCAGCAGAGTGCCCAGCACATAGTAGACCTTCAATAAGCACTTGTTGAATGAATGAATGAGCCAACCAAGGAGTGCTAAGAATAACTTCTATTCCTGACTCTGATAATGTTCACTGTGTGACCTTCAGGGAGTCACATTCTATCTCTGGCCCTCAAGTGTTGTCATTTGTAATAGAAGTTAAACTGGACCTCTGCTTTTCTATGACATTCTAGGATTTGGTGACTATATACCCTGACCCAATAGAATATGAAATGCCTCTGAGCCTTCCATTAAGCCAAACCTTTACGCTCAAGCCAGGTTCTCTTAGGAAACACTCTTAAGTACTGGCTCAGAGCCTAATTGCTTTTTCTTACTGAAGTGATTATATATTGACTTGGAAGATACTGGGTTAGAATCATCATCTAAATCTAATTATACCCTGCTTTCAGTTGAGCAAACTGAGGCTTAAATATATTAAAATGACAAAGAGTTGGATCAGGATTCATATTAGAAACATGTCCTCCAAATGGTTAGAATAAATAATGTCATTTTATGTGACAGATTTAACAAGAAAATTCCTGTAAGCACACTCTTCTGCCCTTTATCCACCAGGATTAGCTGAAGTGTTTTTAAATCCACTCAGAAATCTTTAACACAGAAATAAGGAAGTGATGGTTTCTTATGTCAATGTGAGAGTCAGGTGATAGGCCCTCTCACTCTCCCTCCCCTACTCCGAGGAAGTCAGAGGAAAAGTCATCTTCTCTGCAGATGTTTGGCAATTTATTTGGTGCCAGTGTGTGGAATATTTCAAATCAGCCCCACCTTTGCTGGTACTTTTTTAAAAAACCACTGCTTTCCCATTGGTCCAAATTTGTAAAGAGCTCTCTTGCTATAAACTGTGTCTCTGGAAATAATTTTTTTAGTTAGATAGATGATAGATAATGATAATAGAGATAGATAGATAGATAAGTAGGTACATAGATAGATGATAGATATAGATCGATAGATTTTAGAGAATGAGGAAGGGGAGAAAGAGAGAAAGGAGGAAAGAGAGAGGAACATCAGCTGCCTCCAACATAGGCCCCAACCAGGGATGAACCTGCAACCTAGGCATGTGCCCTGACTGAGAATCAAACCCACAACGTTTCGGAATATAGGACAATACTCCAAGCAACTGAGCCACACTGGCTAGGGCCAGAAACAATTTTGAATATAATCTTGATGACTTGTGACCAGAGTAAATAAATGGGAAATGTCTCTGAAAGCAAATCAAGTGTACTCTGTCCCTTTGCAGGCAAAACTAGTGATTCATGAGCAAAATTAATATAAGCTTCAACTGTGTGCAGGAGAGACAGTTTCTTGTGGGGAAGAAAAGTGGATGGGAGGGAGGTAAAGAAAATTATCCTATAAACAGAAAACATCTCCACCTTGTATATGCATGACAATTTTAAACTTCAAAACTTGATTTCACATTAATTTACACTCCTTTCCACCAGGAAAAGGCACAAATATTGACAGATATTGAAATTCTTTGGAATTTTAATCCACTAACTATGCAAAAACATATGCGTTCTTGTTTTTGCAATGTTCACATAAGAAAAGAGCCCTTCTGAAAATAAAACACAAAATGTCTACATATATTTTGGACTTCTCTGCAATGTGAAAATTAAAATGGATTCCCTGTAGCATATTTTCTACCCATTTCCTCCAGTGTGCATATTTTGTAAACTATAAAAATCAAATGTTATTATAGGGATAAAGAAGAAGAATAGTTGAAATTAAGACCCTCTTTGAAAATATGGCCTATATTGTTTCCATGACTACATCTTAAAACATTTGTGGGGAGGGGAGTGTAAAGCATGTTATTTACTGTAATCCTTCTAGTAACTTAACCACCAGCATTTTACAGATAAGGAAATTGTCCAAGACCATACCTGGGTAGCCAGATCTTTAGATCCAGGATGGTTTCAGTCCAAGCCTGGATGCTGCCCTAAGAAAGAACCTAATGTGGAAATGAGGAATGATTTAGGGTGATTCCTATATGGAACTTGGTGCAAGGTAGCCTGGTTTTGCAGGTACTTGATAATCCTCACTTCCCCGTGGGTCATTGTCTCTCACTCTCTCCCTTGTCTCTGGTAATGGTGGCTTCCAAACAGATGATCCAGGGAGGAGCCAGCTGAATTAGATCGCACCCTGACCACTCTGACCACTATTCTAAGGTCCTTGGCTTTGAGCAGATGTTCTCTGACCTTCATGAATCAAAACCCGTCTCTCATATTACCAATTTCAAGAGACAGTCATTGGTTTATGGGTATAGTCAGAGAATAGAAGAGGCAAAGATATTGACTCCCAGAGGATTAACTGAAAAACAGAACCATTGTTTATCACAGTGTCCTTGATTAGTTGTCTGCTGCTCCCAATAGATTAAGTTTCATGAATGTGGGAATGCCATTTTATTATGTCTATCTTTATATTCCAAATACTGCCTAGCTCAGTATCTGACACACGGCACATACTTCAAAGTAAATAATGAATGAGCGAATAAGTGAGTGGATACACAATTATAAGAGGGAGTGGGTGGTATCTGACAGGAGAAATGCAGTCCGTTACAGCCCCAGAAGGAAGGCTAGAAACTGATGAGTCCATGTTGAGTTTGGATGGCATGAAACATCCAAAAGGAAATGTTGGAAAGTGATATTGCCCATTCAAGCATGGCATTCAGGAGAGAGAGCTGGACTAGAGAGAGACAGAGTCCACCGGAAGGACACTGGGGGCTATTAGAAGTAGGAAGACTGCTCCTGATGAGCTGAGGGTTCAGGGAAGGTTGCTAAGAGAAAATGGCAATGAAGACTATGGGAAGACAGTGTTAACACAAATTTTTCAAACAAACCCATCTCCTATACCATAGATGTATAGTGTGTAGACCAACATAGTGCAGTAGAAATATAATGAACATCACATTAAAATGTCGTAAGTCATTATAAATATTCTAGTAGCCACATTTTGAAAGGTAACTTCATTACTCTATATATTCAAATACCATCATTTTAACAAGAAATCAGTCTAAAAATTATTAAGATTTTTTACTTGTTTTTTAATCTTGAATCTTCAAAATTCAGCCCATCTTAATTTGGTCACATTTCCAACGCTCAATAGACACATGTGGCTATGGCTACCATATTGCATAATAAAGATCTAAAGCACATATAGACAGTGATTGAGAGATGTCAAATACACAATAAAAACCTACTGCTACTCATTCTTCTGTAAATGATTAACACCATAGGGGAAAGAGAGGATGTTAACTATCTCAATGCACCAACATTTTGCATACAACATCTCATATCTTCCCAAATGGAGTAGAGGTAAATATCATTATACTATATATACTAGAGATGAAACTGAGCTTTAAAGAGGATGGGTAATCTGCCCAAACCACACAACAATATTTATTCATCTGATATATGAAACTAAGTTGGTGTCATTCTAAACCCTTTGCTCTGTTAAGCCCTTCAGACTTTAATTAAGAGATATAAAATGGCAAACAACCTACTAATCAGGGACGATTCGAGCATAGCATCACCTAAAATATTTTTTATACTATTTTAAAGAGGGAAAGAAAGGGAATCAGAGAGAGAGAAATGTTGGGGGGGTTTTTGTTTTGCTTATTTATGTATTTATTGGTTGATTTTTGTATGTGCCCTGACCAGGGACGGAACTCACAACCTTGGCTTATCTCTAACCAACTGAGCTATGTGGCCAGGGCTAAAATATTTTTATTCTCATTTGTTTTTATATGAGAGCACTGAAGCCTGGACATACAATGATCTGAGCCAAGCTTCCCTAGGAGATTACTTCAGATCCATGATTCTTTGAAATATTCATTGAAGTAGGATTCCTGGGGCTATCCCCCACCTCAGAACTAATTAAAATCTTAAAGCTGAGGTTTCCCTTTTTTTTTTTTTGAAAAAAAAATAGGAACAATACTCTGTCCCACCTACCTCCAGAATTTTTTAAAAAATAAGAATCAAAAAGGAAAGATGGAAAACTATTTAATTTCAACAGGTTCTTATTATCAGGAGTTATTGGAACCTGAACTTATGTTCCTGAATCACATAATTATTGGTTCATAGGCTTTGAGAGCTGCTGTCCAATAAATGATTCTGTGACTCAGCAATGGGTGCAAGTTTGAGAAACTCAGATGTCTTATTTTGACTTGGGAAATGCATGCAGCAAACTCTGATCATGGAGGATATTTCAAAAGAGAAACCTCATCACAACTAATGAACCCCCTCTTCTCCTCAGGGCCTGTCAGCAAACTGGTGGAATTACCGACACTTCCAACATCACGTAAAACCAAATATTTACCCAAAAGATCCAGATATTGATATGGGCCCACTTTTCCTCCTTGGAGATTTGCAACCTGTCAAGGTACGTTTAGAAATCCTGACCACCAGAAGTTCTTAGAAGTGGTTCTTAGGAAGGCCTATTGCCTCATCTTGGAAAGATCATACTGGAGCTCCCAACTTCATGCATGTCCTGAGAACATCTCTCTTTTTTAGGTACAGAATATAGACTTGAAATAACTGAGTCTGGGGTTCTAAAATGAGAAGAAGTGAAGTGCACAAGTCTTTGTCCTAACAAGTTATTCAATATAACCTCCCAGCATAAGAAATATAACCCATATCACTCTGCTTGAGCAGCCCTGGTGACAAGCTGATCCCTGCATAGTTCCTGCCACTAGCTGTGAGGCTCTCCTAATGTTAGATAGTAAAATTAGGTGTCTAAGGTTGGCAATGACTGCAAAGACATGGAGACATCCACTCAGGGAAGACAGGTCAGTACATTCAATAGGCACTAAAGCACAAATATCTAAGTCTAGTTAGTTCAGCTAATTCTAGCTCAGTTAGAAGAGGCTGTGCTGCTATTTGTAGTTCATTTCTACATGAATCACAGCCCAAATGCTTCTTAGACACTGAGATCCCCCCCCTAATTTGTACGTCTTAAATGACAGGAAAAGGAAGGGAAAAGTCAGCTCTAGAATTTCTCACTTGTTGTAAAGGATGAGCACCAAGTTTCTCAGGAGAAAGTCTTCTTTCAACAGAGGAGGTCTAAAGTCAGGTACTTAGGAAGAATCTGCTATCTTCTTCTAAAAGTATTTAGGAGGTTTATAAAAATAAGAATGTAGTTTTGTCAGTTGCTTCCTGGGCCTTGTGGTACGTAAACTAAAAATTATGCAACTCTTTGAAAATAGGTTTTCCCATCTTTGGGACACTACTAACCCTCTTCCCTGACTAAATTAGGAAAAAAATTATCTTGCCTAGATTTTGAAAAACAAAATCCTTGGCTGTGACAGTGAATCATTTGCTTTTGACCATGACTCCACCAACAAACTGGACTTCTCTGATGTTTGTGAACTTCGTGCTCATCACTAAAATTGTAACACTTGATTTCTCTAATTATCCCCATGACAAAGCAAAATTTGTCTCAATGAAGTTCATGAAGCAGCTTGACCTTCTCTAGAAGTGCCTTCTCTAAAGCTTTACAAATGATGGAGGACATCTCTCCAAGTTTCACAGCTGCTCTTGGGACATGTCCTTTGGGATCTACATACATAGTTTCAAAGCTACTGCACAAAAAATTACTTAAAATTATTTAAACTCTAAAATTCAGTTGTTTCACACCAAGAGTGGTATTGATGAGTCCTGAATATTTGCTTTCTCTCACTCACTCTTCTATAACTGTAAATAGATATTTTTTACTCATCATCATGATATTTCTTTTTATTTTTGATAATACAAGATGGAAGGATCAATCCTACCCTCCTAATAAGAGAATAAATCTATACTTACATAGGTGGGAAAGTATTCAAAAAATGAAGAAAGCAAGAGTCAAGCACTGCCTATAGCAAGGGTGTCAAACTCATTTTCACCAAGGGCCACATCAGCCTCACGGTTACCTTCAAAGGGTTGAATGTAATTTTAGGACTGTATAAATGTAACTACTCCTTAACTAGGGGCAAGGAGGTCAGCACTGCCACCAGGTAGAAACAAGGTGCTGGACCGGATAAAACAAGATGGAGGGCCGGATTCAGCCCACAGGCCTTGTGTTTGCCACCTGTTGCCTATAGTGTAATTGAATGAATATACAGCAAAAATACAGAGTGGGATGTGAATTACCATTAATGTATTCATTCCTCCAGGTAAGCATTTATTGATTGTGTGCTAGTTACTGGAGATATAACCACTACTTCTATACCTGTTCTCAAGGTATTTACTGTCTTCATGCACTGAGAACAAATTAAATTAATGAAGGAGACCCCTAAAAAAGTAAGCAAATGCCCAGTACTGAGATCATATAAATATCATTGTGCTTTACAAATAGTAAATTACAGCATGAGATCCATGATGAGAATACTAATGAGGAAAGGTGGGCGAGATAGGAGGTGCCATGCCTATATCTGTAATCACATGACCGCTCAACAAATATCTGTTGAATGAATGCATATAGATGGAGACTGGGCTTCAAGCAGAATTGTAAATGTTGTAGTTACAGAAGAGCTAGAAAAAACTCATTAGAAATGTGCCTTTTCAATCACCACTCAACTCTATATAAGCACAAAAAATCTTTAAATAGCTTCCATAGGAATAAAAAAAAACATGATTATAATCCCCATAGTCAAATGCAATAAACTATCCATGCAAGAATTCCCGGCACTTAATTAAAGCAAAAAGATGCTACAATATTTCCTCCCATTCCAGTTCTGTTTCTTCTGGTGCCTCAAGTTCAACAGCCAATGAACTCTGATCAGATGGCTTTTTCCAGAGATTTTAGACACACACAAACACACAGATATTCTTGACTATAATGGCCAGAAGTATTGTCTCTTATTTAAGTTGTAATCTCTCTCCATTCAGTATGGCAAGAAGAAAATCAAATACATTGACTATGAAAAGCAGCACCTGTACTTCTACATGGGTGAGTATCCACGGAGCCACATTCCTTATCATTCCATTTCCTTGAAGTAAGCAGTAGTCAAGCCAGAAGGTATGACTGCAATCCTCTCACAGAGAGGATTCCCATGTCATCTTGTAACTCAGAAAAGCAGCATGTCTTATTTCAGACTTACTGGGGTGGAAACCTGAAAAGCAACCAGAGAAGCAGAAAGGAATTTTTAATAGGCATCTCATCGCTCTGGGTATTGGGCCAGGAAGGAGATGCTCCAAGAAGGATGAAAGACAGGATGTCAATCAAGAAGTCTTGCATCTGGGACTCTAAATATGGAAAAACTAAAAACCTATCAACAAGAAAAGAATATTGGCCTTTGGGTAGGGAGGAAAGGGAGATAGGAAAAGAATGCCAAGACATTGACAGTATGATGCCAAAAAAAAGTGGAGGCCCAGGAATAAATGATGCCTATAGAGCTTCTGCATGAAAGAAAGCTGGCTGTTTACTTGGCTTCCATATAGGTGTAGAAGATACTTTAGTAAACAGAGACAGACAGATGATGATAGATAGATAATAAATAGGTCTAAATGTGGGATGTGGATCCAGACTTAAAAACAAAAATAAGGTAACTAAATAATACTGATACTAATAAAAAATATCAGAAGAAAAATGATTTGCTCTTAACCAAAATCACACCAATGACTGATTACAAAAAAGGTTTCCTGGAACCCCAAAATATATTCATCTAAAATATTTGAGAACTAAACCAAAATCAAGGAAGATTCCAAACATTTCCTGTAGATCAGTGGTTCTCGACCAGAAATAGTGTTGCTCCCAGTGGAATATTTGACAATCTCTAGAGACACGGTTGGTTACCACCACGGAGGGAGAGGGACGGTACTGGATCCAAGAAGTATAAGCCTGGGATGCTGTTAAACATCATACACTACACAAGACACCCCCCAACAACAAAGAATTATCTGGCCCAAAATGCCAACTGTTCCAAGGCTGAGAAACTCTGTTGCAGATTATCTGATTTGCCCAGATATTGGCTGCCAGTGGCCAGACCAGAGGGCCAGTGGGCCAATTGTTAGAGACATAGAGATTAATTCCACTGCTGTCCCTTCCATTGCTGGAATTCTGTAGCCCATCCTATGGTGGTCACCTGCTCTTTCTCTTGCACAACCAAAAAGAGAAATGAAATTGGTGTCCCACTTTGAAAGGTAGCTCATCCCCAACCTAGCTAGATGTGTGTTTACATAAGAAAAAGTTTTTGGAGTTTCTTTGCTGAACTCTCTTCCCATCTTGCATGCAGCAATATGCCCTTAGCTTTTGAAGAATGAATGAATGGTGTGGACTCACTGCAGAATCCATGCCCCCCACACATACACAAGCCACACTGCTCTCTGGGGCTGTTTCATTGTGTCCTTTCTCTTCAAATGCCAGCTTAGCAACTCAGGCACAAATAAATCAGACTCAAATTGTTGAAGAGATGTAGCACTTTTGTTAAAGATAGCAAGACAGATTTTATTCAGGCTACTACTGCCTGCTGCATACTGTTGCTACTGCAGTAAGGGAGATGGACTTCAGTATAAACTGAGCTTAACTCTACTGGAACAAAAAGTGGGAGACTTTTTAAACATGGGAGCATGCTAAAGGAAATTGCTGAAAGATGTTGAGGGGAGAGGAAATGGATCAATGTGATTAAGCCATTTGTGTCTGCTAACTGGTGCATATGGAAGTTGGGCTCCTACCTTCCCAGAGAGACTGGGAAACAGGGCCCTAGCCTTCATGATCATATTTCAAAGGGATAATTCCCAGGTCCTTGAGAAAGATATTTCTGGGTGATAGAAGAAACATTTCAAAGGGACAAAGAAAGAATTTACAATAGTAAGATTTCTAACATAAACATTCTAAGAAAAGAAAAGTCATCCCAGGGATGTGGCTCTGAGCTGTTAGGAACTGTGCTACTGTTTGTTAAAGTCTCTTAGTATGTGGGATGGATGAAATCATTCGTGCTCAGACTTGGCAGAGTTTGAGAGTTTGCAGGCCAACACAAAGCCTACCTAGTGTAGAGGAGGACTCAGAGTACCTGACTGAACTGCAGTCAAAGACAGAGTCTGTCAACACACAAAGGGGTTCTGTAAGACTTGTTTGTGCTTTAGCCTCATGGATCCTGCGGGGAGAAGCAGGTTGACAAATCTCTGGCCAGGAAAGTACACCTTCTTTATTTCTGCCATCTTGACATATTATGCCAGGGTCCAATCCTAAAGGTTGTGACAGATGGAAGAATTCCATAGTCTTTGAGATAACTTGAAAGCTCACAGCAGAAGCTCTTCCAGGATGCCTCCATCAGGAATGACTCAAATCTTGAAAGCTCCCCTAGTCTCCTTGAGAGAGCTTGCACCAAATTCCTGGTTCAGCCTCAGAGACTCAAAACTCCCAGCTTTGGGTTTCAACCCTGCCACCCTGCTCAGAGGCAACATTGCAGGTGGCATGTTAAGAAGAGAGACTCCTGCCGACTTGCACTGAGGTCACATTCTAGTCATTTACTCACCATCTTTTTTGTTGTGTTTTTCTTTCAGTTGGGCTTCCCCTCCTTATGCCTATATATTTCAACCTACAATCTATGCAAGTGATGTACCTCCGAAAGTATTGGGGGGTGAGTAAATTCACTCATTCTCAGAAGCCAAACCAGGTAGAACATGGGAGTGAGAATGCTTGTTCCCTTCTAGATAGAGCTTCCTCAAGTAACAAGACTTAAGATTTAGCCAGTACATGTAGGGACCCTAAGCCAATGAAGGGGAAGTGAAATTGTGTTCAGAGCATCTAACTCTCAAGCATTTCTGTCTGCAGGATATTGCCTGGGTCAGCAGTTTTTACATCCGCTATTTCATCACATTTGGCCCTTTCTACGGAATCTTCGGAACCATGTTGCTCATATATTTGGTCAAGTAAGAAAGCAAGAATGTCCACTTTTTCCCCATAACACTAGACAGTCCTCTTATCTTCCTTATCTAATCTATTTGCGATTAGTATAAGATTATGACACCATGCCCCATCCTCTAACTGAGACATTTCTGAGACAATGTAAAAATAAATAAATAAATAAATAAATAAGTTGAAATTGTTAAGAACTCCCTAGTAAAAAAACTTTTTGATCAATCTACTCTTTTTTTCCTACTTGCTTAATTCTCAATTGCAGTATTTCACCTGAACCTCAAATCTTTTAAAACTGTAATCCAGTTAGATGTCATAATCTTTGCCAAAGATAATGGAAGGGAAGAAATGTTTTAAAGTTATTTTAGGCCTAGAGTTTTTCCCACAACCAAAATGACTTCCCACTGAATAGTCCTCTTCAACTTCCCAATTGATTCCCCCCTTGTGATTTTACTTTATTATTCTATATTCTACATAATAATGAGGATAATGCTAGTTAATATGTATTAGGCACTTTGCTGAAGGCTTAACATGCATTATCTTATTGGTGTAATCCTCCTATAATCCTGTAATATAGATAGCATCATCTTTATTTTCTGCTAAGGAAGCTTAAGCACAGAGAGATTAAATCACTTGCCCAAGGCTATAGAGCTAGTAAGGTCCAGTGGCAGTGCAGGAGAACTTGAACCCAGCTCTATCTGATGACAAAACACTGGCTGTCGTTCACCTGGCATATGCCCCTAAGTCACCTGAGTATCTTTTTTTTTCTATTTTAAGGTATTTTTTAATTTTATTTTAATCATTGTTCAAGTACAGTTTTCTGTCCTTTACTCTCATTCCAGCCCACCCACCCATCCCTCCCCATCTCCCTCCCATTTCCACCCCCCCTAGTTTTTGTCCATATGTCCTTTATATTTGTTCCTGTGAACCCATCCCATTCTCCCCTGAAATTCCCTCCTAAGTATCTTTTGATCCTTTCATCAATGCTACAGCAAATTTTGGGGCACTGCTTCTGCACACTACGCAGTAAGGCTGGTCATGTGACCAAATAAAGGACCTCCAAAGAAGAAAACAAATGGCCACTATTTTATTAAAACCTTTGAGTCCCTTGCACTTCTTCCAATGCTCAGCCAGTTCTGCCAGCAATTATGCAAGCCCAGTAATTGCAACTGTAACACCCCAAGGAGTCATCGGCTTCCTCCTTTTATTCTCCAAAAGGTTTCTTGAAAGTCCCTGGATTGCATGTGTTACACAGATGAGCCACATACCAATGAAAATGAGCAGAGAAGAGAACAGAGACTGGCTCAGTACTCAGGTAATAATGAAGTTTGCGGGAGAGAATCTGTCAAAGCATTTTAAACCCAGGCAGTTTGATTTCAGAGCCTTTGAACCACCTGTCAGTAAACTACAGTCCAAGGGTCAAGTCCAGCCCACTACTTATTTCTATAAATAAATTTTTCTTGGAACACAACCATGTTTATACATTTTTATATTATCTATGAATGCTTTCATGCTACAACAGCAGAAGAAGCTGTGACAGAATTAAAATATTTGCTGCCTGTCACTTTATAGAAAAGATATGCTGACCCCTATTCCCACATGACACAGTCTTTCAAGGGAATCTGAGATGCCTAGAATTACAGAATGAATTTGACACCCAGAAGGCCACTGGAATGCACCTCACTTCTTTGCACAGGTAGAGAGGACCAGCAAGGAGATATGACATGCTCTCCACACATGGTGTGAGTGATTTCAGAGCTGTGACCGGTGCAGCGCACCCCGCCTCCTCAGCCTCCCACTAGCTGTGCCGTGACTGACTGGAGAACCCAGTCATCATTCTACTCCCTTCTCTGAGCCCATTTCCAAATTCATTGGACCTTCCATAGGGTGTACAGTAACAGTTCTCATAGTGTTTCGGTCACAGAGCCACGTCACACACTTAAAAGTTACTGAGAGCCTCAAAGATCTCCTGTTTGTACAAGCTATTTATATTTGTGGATATTTACTGTATTTGGAATTGAAACTGAGACATGTTAAAGCATTATGGATCAATTATTAATTTATTATGAACTGAAATAAGAATCAAACCAATACATGTTAGCATTCAGAGTGATGGTGCCATCCCATGTTAGTAGCCTCTGGGAAAATCCACTGTAAAAGCATGAGAAAATGAGAATGAAAAGGAAAAAATGTCTTAGAAGTATTACTGGACTACTTTTTACCTTACAGATCTCCTGAATAGTGTCCTAGGGAACCCCAAGTTTCTCTGAAGAACACTTGAGAAACACCAACATAGAACAACCCAAAATAATATTCAAAAAGGCAACAACTCCAACTAGAATTAAAGCCCTGGCTGGTGTGGTTCAGTGAATTGAGTGTTAGCCTGAGGACCAACTAGAATTAAGCCTTAGAAAGGCATTGAATAAAATAACATTCATAAGAGATCTTATTCTTGGCAGTCTGGGGAAGCCTGCAGACTCCTCAGGATGACACTTTGTCAATGCATAAAGCATCAGCTTACAAAGGAAAGTACTTACATTGAATGCACTTCTATGCACAGAAAGCCTTGGTTAAAATCCTTGAGTGCCTTATTCCCCATTTGGAGGCCCTTCAAGTCCACTCCATGGAAAAGGTATTCTAAGCCCTACAGTCTCTACCAAAATCCTATACTCCCACTTCCATCTGTCAAGGTTCTCATTTGTGACACCTTGGTCTTCTGTATCCAAAGACGGATGATGACTTAGCCCCCTCAAGTCCTATACACTTTTTCATATCTATTGCCTTATATATACTTCTTAGAAAATGTCTTATTGGCAGTTTAAAATGTAAGTTATTTATCCAGGAGCACCTATCTTTTTTATTCCTCCTAATTTCTTACACAAAAGGGGTACTCAATGAGCACTTGTTGAATGATTAAAAAAAGAACAATGGAACATTTCTGTTTGACACTTGAGCTTATTTATATCTGACGCAAGATTTTTCTTTGCAGGTCTTGGCCACATGTAATGTCGAACAGTCCTTCTTCAATGACTGGTTCACTGGGCACCTGAACTTCCAAATCGAGCACCAGTGAGTGATTGAAACAGTCCATGATAGGGGGTGTGGGCTCTGATGTACGCACAGTCCAGAGCAGAACCATAGGCTTAGGATCTCTGAGGGGAAAAAAACTGAACCAGAATTCTCTAAAGGCTTCTGTCTTTCAACTAACATCAATGGTAAGGAAGGAAAGAAAGAAAAGAAGGAGATATCACAATTGTTAGTAAATAGAGTGAAATCTTGTAAAAATACCAGTGACTCGGTTTCCAGATTCTTATGGATTTAGAAAACGTTGATTGTTTTCTTTGCATTTGGCTTGTTGGGAAAACCCAAGAAAAATCACACCACTTGGGTAACCAAGTTGTGTTGAAACTTGTCATTTATTTATTTATTTACTTACTTACTTATTTAACTTATTGGGGTGACATTGGTTAACAAAACCATACAAGTTTCAGGCATACAACTCAACAAAACATCGTCTGCCCACTGCATCATGCACTCATCACCCAAAGTCTCTTTCTGTCCCCATTTCTCCTGCTTTGCCCACCTCAACCTACCCCACCCCCTTTCCCTCTAGCGAACACACAGTTGTCTCTGTCTTGTGTTATGTATATATATATTTTTTTTGATCAATCCCTTCACCTTCTTTGATCCAGCTCCCCAAGGCCTCTCCCCTCTGACAGCTGACAGTCTGTTCCACATATCCATTCCTCTATTTCTATTGTGTTTGTCAGTTTATTTTGTTCATTAGGTTCCTAAATGCCTATCTGTCTATATCTTTAGGTTACAAAATAATCAATAATGAAATTCAGTCTCTGCTGCAATTTCCAAATGGTATCTGGAAATACTTAACCAATGGGTCAGTTAGGCAGATATGTCCTAAAGAAAGAGCAAATTATAACCGTTTCAGAGTTAATCTGTCCATAATATTCAGGGGAGAGACTTTCCATATCATTTTGTCTAAGCCATTTCTGTGATAGTTAGCAAAGGAAAGAGATGTACCTATTCATAAGATTTTCTCATCATTTCTTTCATGTTAGTCCTTTGAAATCCCAGCAAAACAAGACAGAGTTTTTATTTACATTTCATCAAAGAGGAGGTAAAAACCAAGAAAGTCATCTGACTAATTAGTAAAACCCTTGAATAGAATCCCATCTTTTCTCACTTCTTCTCCTTATCCTAGAACTGTTCCCATATGCTATGACTAGAATTTACTGAATACTCATCTATTTTAATGGAAGAGTCAAATGGATAGAGAGACAGACACACAAACACAGACAGATAAAGGGGGTGGGTATCTCCAGCTCTCTAGGTAATTCAGAATGCTAGAAAACTCCATACTTTCATATGAGCTGGACAAATACTAAACATTTCTGATGGAGCTACTATTTATTTTCGTAGCTTTTTCTAAACACTGCCACCCACAGGGCTCACAGAAAGTTAAGAGATAAGAATATTTAACAAGAGTTTTTTTAACTTCCAAGAGCAGAAATATTGTGCAAGGTCAAGGTTGAGTCTGAATTGCTGACATAACTTTATTTACTAATGTGGAAAGGAAACTTTTTCATGTTTCTCTGTCAGCCTAAGTTTTATATGCCTCCTTTCTGTTTCCCTAGTCTGTTCCCCACTATGCCTCGCCATAATTATCACAAGGCAGCACCTCTGGTGAGGTCCCTGTGTGCCAAACACGGAGTGCAGTATGTGAATAAGCCCATGTTGAAGGCGTTTGGAGATATCGTCAGGTAATAACAGAGTCTCCTCAACTCACGGCTCTCATTTTCCTTCACTACCTGTCCCCACACTATTCACTGGCTTGTGACTCATTCACCCAATAACCATTTATTAAGGGGCTCCTGGATCCCCAGCATGGAAATGAACGGCAGCAACAAGAGCAATGATAATAATAATTCTTAACATTTACCTTCTGCCTTCTAGGTACTTCTTAGTGAAAATGCCTTTCTGTCCTACTGAATTTCACACTTCTTAAAACCAGGGCTGTGTATTATTTGTCTTTGTATCCCCTAGAGGGCCTTTGAGAGTTCAAGAACTTAACTGGGAGGGATTCTCAAATCATCTGGTCCAGGGTTGCAAACGAAGATGCTTGCAAGGTCCAGCAGGACGTAAATGTGTGAATCAGGCAGGGGTGACCGATCCCCTGTGGACACACCCCAGGGGTAACTGACCAGGAATGGCGAGGCCTTCCAGAACTGAAAATTCATACTCATCCTGAAGCATTCACAGTTCCCTAGAGACCATTGTGCTGACCAAACTAACAGCCAGCAACCTGGGTTTAATAACTGCTTTTCCTTTCAGAATTGGAAGTGAACAAACAAATAAAAATACAGTATCTTGAATGAGGAAAACAAGGCCAGGCCGGTTCTGAACTGATCCCTGACTAGTGTTCTAATTTTGGAGTCTACCAATCTCTTCCCTCTCTGCCCTCCAGATATCCAGCCTCCCTTCATTTGTTACATTAATCCCTGCCCCTTGTCACTTAATTTTCTTTGTCCCCTGTTCTTCTGCCCTAATGTTCTTCCAATCTGCCACCTGCCTTATCACCTTATCAATCTCCATTTACTCTCCACAGCACCTCTCAAATGCCTTTTCCTTCTCAATCTTCCCTGATTACCATGACTAGGTCCCATACTTTTGTAGCACCTGGTTCTCTTCATTCATGACCTTTGTCACAATCATGACTAAATAACATGTTGGGTAATAAATTCTAGTATCTCTTACTCAGCCAGGAACTCCACGTGGAGAGGACTCACCTCTCTCTGATTCATAGCTGTATCCCCAGAGCCCAGAATAGTATCTTTAACATTATAAAATAGGACGGGCAGGTAGATACTGGATGGGTTGGTATATAGCTGTATGCTTTATCCTGTAAAATCTCAGTGAAGCTTTTTGTTAATACTAGAAAAAGGGGTGGGTGATGGTTTGGGATTCCAAGGAGAATAAATGTAAGAAAAACTCAATCTTCTCCATAAAGGAAAGATGACCTCACTTGCTTAAAAGAAAAAAATTAGTGTATTTGACTTCTTCCACGGGGCAATAGAGAAAGACATTTTTCACATATGGCTGAAAATGACATCATGGCCTTGCACCAAGTGAAAGAGCAAATGTTTCATGGAGTAGCAACCCTCACCTGAGAGTCTCACCTCCTGATGATCTTATTCACTCCTTCCACAGGGCTTTGAAGAAATCCGCAGCCCTCTGGGTAGATGCATACTATGAAACATGATGCAGAACACCAGCCTTGGCATGCATGCAGTTGTATCTCTCAAAGGGGCTGGTGAATGTGCAAGAACTCTTCCCACTTACCTGTCAATGCCACTGGCATACACTTGGAATGTGAACTCTGAGGACACATGATAACCCCTTCCCTGAAGGTTTCCTCTGCAAACAAGAAGCAGAGGGAACACGAGATGGCTCTGGCCAGGCTAACAAATGGGAGATGGGAGCCCCATGTTTTTATTTTTTCAAAAGGATCTTGAACTTAGTCCTACCAACAGACCTTAGTCAAATTGTCTCAGTCACTGAGCATAAGCGCTTGGCATAAACCCATGGAGAAGTTTCACTGATGACGTGGACATAGAAAGGAGTGGACCAAGTAGAGACCCTGGATGGAGCACTTTTTGAAAAACAAAGCAGTTACTCTGAAAAGAAAACCGTGTATTTAAGAAGTTCCTGTTGAAGCACAAATGTTTTGCTTATTCCTTTGATAAATGTTTGAACTTTTTCTTTAAATGTTGAGTGTAATTAACATTAAAATCTCTTTAAATATTTTAATATTCATTTCAGATTTTCATTATCGTACTGCGTATGTGTCATTGGTGTGTGTATATTTCTTTCCAAGTTATAAAACTTCTGAAAGGCACTTCCTACATTCAGTCCCAACAGCAACTGATAAAGCAAGCTAAGGTCCCACGCTAAAGGTGGCTTGTTCTCTGCCTAAGGATAGACTGTCACTGAGTCTAAGGTTTGCCTGAACCCTACCCACCAAACAGAACTGCCAAACCTCATCATTAGGTGACTCTACTGAAAGAAAGGGATTCGTTTTCAGTAAGGTAGACCCTGAGCTGGTTCACCAAATTAAGGCTTGGCACCAAATTAAGCATGCCTTAGGACAAGGCAGTTTCAATGTTAGAATGATACGTTGACACTTTCAGTGGCTAGCATACTGATGTTGAGTGTGTCTGTGCTTTTGTTCTTCCATTCATGGGGGTCAGCTAACAGATGATCTTGGCCGTAGGGAGAGAAAGCAAATAGCACAACCTCCATCCCCTACTCTATGCAAGTAAGCATTAGGGGTTTATTTGTTGTCTGAAATTCCACCAAGAAGCATTTTGTTCCTTTCTCCCAAACTCTGCAAGATATTTGGGGTTCTTTTTGTGTCTTATTTTAACCCCTGGGTTCTGGAGACCCTGTGGCAGAAAAAGAAAGTGTAGTGACTTGAAAGAAGCCACTGGGGCTGAAGCTAAGGGAGCACAGGTCAGCGTGGTGCAAGGTGGGGCAATGAGGGAAAATACATTAAATTGCTCATACATCCAAGGAGTTAGTCATACATGCCAAAGCTAAGAAAACAAGAGCAGGTTGTCTAGAAGGATTGGGCATTGAAATGGTAGTAATATTCAGTAAGGAAGTTGCGTATGAAATGAAGAGGAAGAAACGTTTGGTTTGACTTCATGATTCTTCATGATGCAAGCCCTGGATGGATCTGACAAGAGCCAAAATTCCTCCTGTTGGTGGATCTATAGATGATTTCTCCTGCCCGAAATCAGGGTTGCAAGTAGAAACGGAGCAGAGTGATTGGCTTTCTCTGTCTCCTCTGGTCCAACTCCCAATGATGCTCAAGCATCATTTGTTCTCCTGGTCACTAGAAATAGCAATCAAACCTCTCCCTGGACACACATACAACCTCAAAGGGTTTCTCCCTCAAGGTCAAAACTAGCCCGCATTGCAGTTCCTCCAAATGGAGTTGGTTACTGTGAAACTGAACAAATCTGGGAGATTTAGACAGATTACTTGAGGAAAAACATGTAAAATCAGAAAAGGTTCTAGGTAAGAACAAAAGTTTATAATGGAGTAAATTTTAACTTTCTTAGTGCTACTCAATAAAATAGTCCTTTTCCTGAATTCAATTCTCAATTGATTTTTCTCTCTCTCCCTGCAGTGACTTGTATTTGCACCTGTGAGGCATGTAACTATATTTCTGTTACTTGTTCAATAAGCTTCTGGAGAAGGAGCACAAAGTCCTGTTACTTTGACAATTTCCCAGCTCTCTGACCACTAAATTAGAATTTACATGATTCAGTCTGCAGGTCATTCCATTTCTGCCCTTCATATTGTAAGACTCTAATGACTCCTGACTATTATATTACAGTCCTACCTAAAACACTTCAGTGGATTCCCATGGCTCTTGGAATAAAGATCAACCTGGAAGACTGCCAACAGACTTTGCCTGCACAGGCCCTTCCCTGTGCACCCTGCCCCACCTTGTACCGCCCTGGCCTGTGCTCCCTCTGCTGCAGCCCCAATGGCTTCTTTTGAGTCATCACAGTCCCTTCCTTCACAGGGTCTTGGCTATTAAACCCAGTGTCTGAACCTTTGTGTCATTCCCCTGCTCTCACTCCTTCTCACCCAGCTAGCTGTCACTCACTTGCAGATCCAGGGAAAATCTCCACTAAGTCACGACCTCCTATGATATGCTCTATAGCAATTACTACAGGTATAATTTTACATTCATTTGTATGATTCCTTAATTAATTTTTCTTCCCCACTAGCCTTCAATATCTGTGAAAGTAGGGACTGCCCAACATGTTAAAGTCACTCAGTAAAGATGTACAGGAGGGAGGGAGGGAGGGAGGGAGGAAAGAAGGAAGGAAGGAAGGAAGGAAGGAAGGAAGGAAGGAAGGAAGGAAGGAAGGAAGGAAGGAAGGAAGGAAGGAGAGGGAGATCTGAGAGAGGGAAAGGAGGGAAGGAAGGAAAGGAGGGAGGGAGGGAGGGAAGGAAGGAATATATGTAAATATAATTCTAACTAGATAGAAAGATAAATTTTATCTAATATGGGAGAGGCACTTTTATACTCTAACTCTGAATTATTAAAATTCTTACCAGTACTTAAGAGTATCTACCAAGCAATTAGTACTGAACTATACCCTTCATGGGCATTATTTTATTTAATCCTCCTAACAGTCCCATGATTCAAGTCCTATAATTAATCTCATTTTATAGATGAAAAACTTGGGACTTAGAGAGGCTAAGCAACTTGCCTGATGTCCCAGGTAGGAAGTGGTGGAATAGAGTTTCAGATTTGGGAATATCTGACTTCATAGTCGATGCTCGTTAATTTCCATGCCAGAAAATTCAAAATAAAGGGGAATTAAGTGACATTTGAAGACATGTTGCAATTGGCACTTCTGGAATATTTCTAATAGTTTCCCAGAAGCTGATGGAATAAGAATTGCCACCTGAGCAACAGCAAGTGCCCTGGGGACGGAAAAATGGAGGAGCATGTGACAGGCACAGTGGCAACTTGGAAAGGGTCCCTGTTGATGAACTTCTACTAACCAATCCGCAAAGAGCATCCAGCTTGGAGAAATTTCACTTGGGAGTAGTGAAGCTGAGACTGAACTTTTAACCACATAAAACATCAAAGAACGGGATGAAAACATGGATTTGAGATGTGATGACTTAGTGTGATTTCAACCCATGGAAAATTCACCACCCCTGTCTTTACATGGACTGAACCCTATTTCCTTTAAAGCTGTACTCTTCCTGGCAACATGTGCCTGTGAGAAATTGCACGTTTTCAGCTAGACATTAAGCAAGGATGACTGGATTAGAAGTCAGGGACTTGGATTCTAATTTCAGCTCCCTAATTGAATACTCTATAATGAAATTGGCCAGGTCACTCATACACTTCATACCTGAATGTGCAAAACAGGTGTGGGACATACTATTACCTGACCTACATGCATCATAGCATGGTCAGGACAATCAAGTGAAGTAAGGCAAATGGCATAGTTTCACAAGGTGGGAACACCCATCTGACGCTGGTTATTATTATTATAATGAGGGTTCCTCCCATCCTGGACCCACCAAAAAAAAGCAAAAAAGGCCAGAGAGTCACACAGACCCACAGGTTGAAAAGGCAGTGAATCATTTTAACAATGACAGTATGAGAGGCTTTCCCCAGATGAGAGGCTTATGAATCACAAGCCAGAAAATGACTTCTGTTCCAATAAGTAACACCCAGGAGTCACCCTCCATGTCTGACTGTATTAAATCCCCTGAGACCAGCACTCAGAGCTCAGGCCGAAGGAATAATAGAGAGCCAAGGGTTCTGGTTACCCAAACTCTGGTTAACTATGAGAGTACACAATTCTCTTGGTTGAAAATTATGCCAAATGTAAGTATACAAATGAAGCAATAACTATTGTGCAAATCTGCATGCTATAAACAACTTTCTTGACTATTTCTTTGCTAATTATCTAATCATCTGCCCTAAAGATGGAGAAAGTAGAGGAGAATGAACTTAAACTCTGCAGAAGGCAGGAATACACCCAAGCATTTTTTTCTTTCTCAACATCATTTATGAAAAGTTTGCAAACAGACAGCAACAGTGAACATCAGCATGGCTGTCACCTAAATTTCAACTTGAACATCTTAGGAAACTTTTTTTCATTTAATATCCACCCATAGACCTATATCTCTATCCATTAATCCCCTCTTATTTTTTATGCATTTTAAAATAAATTTCTAGGGGCTAACTTTTAAAAATAAACCTCACATTATACAAACAACAAAGTATATTTCTTCTCTTCAGTAAAGAATTGGTGACAATTGTGGAGCCATTTCATCTTTGGAGAATTTTAAGGGAATTTTGCTATTCTGAGGGACTGAAATATAGTTAAATCCCTGCAAAATCAATTGTTACTCAAAACAGAATAAACCTTCTCATGCATACATTAATCTTTCATTATCTTTTATTTATGCATATATATTTATCTTCACTATTCTCTTTCATTTGTCACTTACCACCTGTCATTTATGATGGGAACAAGAGAGGCAGGAGGCAGCCTCTTGGAGCTTACAATCTACTGGAGAAGACAGTCAGTAAACAAGTAAATGGAAGAAGAAAACAGGTAATTACAGGTAAAGAAAATAAAAGGGTGTCATGAGAGAGAATAATAAGCGGGGGAGTCGTTTGGCTAAGGGGGTCAGGGGCAGGGGAATGCGAGAAGAATGTGGAGGAGCCTGCCCTGAGATCCGGATGAGCAGGCCACAGAAGCTAGGCCCTGAGGCTGGAACGAGGCTGCGTCCAAAGAACAGAGCGGGAGGTGTGTATGACCCGCAGCCTGCAAGCAGCCGGTTGTTTCCTCACTGCCACTTAACCGCATTTCTGCATGAGTGTTTTTGCCTTGGCTTTTAGATGAGCATCGTTTTCTCTGAGAAGCCTTCCCAGTCTTAACTGATCAGGCTAACTCTCCCTTTATAAGGTCTTGTGGCCTGTGCACCTCACTGAGTCCATTTACTCCTGCCTGCACACCCACTAGACTGAAAACTCGGGGGAGGACCCGCTGGGCCTGCTGTCGGCACAGTTCCTGGGGCTGGAGATAAAGATATCAGTCACAACAGTATGGTGGTTTACCAGAAGGAGAGGAAGGGTCAGGAAGGGGTCAGAGGGTAAAGGGGGTCAA